ACGGAACGTCTTGCTGCCACTTTGGGGCCAGACAGCTAGAAACTCTTATTTTTCAATACGACTTTTTGGTTCCTGAAATTCATTCAGACGGTGCAGATGAAATATAACCGGAAGCATTCTACAGGATGTGTCGCTAGTGTGTGTGGAAACAGTCAAGATCCAAGGATCCCCAGGCATGCAACTCCAGATGGTAGAGTCATCAGGTGCCATCGTGGTGCCTGGGCATCTCCACAATCTGATACGATAATCTTTATTGTCATTGTCCCATACAGAACAACAAAATTGAAAATCTACATCAGACATTCAGAAACCAACAAGCCTGCTATCCCAGCTATCCCAGCCTGGTTACCCCCCTAAAAACTCTGATACCCCATTTTAAAAATACAATATACTCCCATCGAGACCCCTTTAAAACCAAAATAGCATTTGGATAGAAACTGTTTCTCAGGCGGCTAGTCCTAATCTTTATAACCCTGTACCTTCTTCCAGAAGGCAGAAGCTGAAAGAGATCATTTCCGGGGTGTGCACTATCCTGCGCTATCTCTGCAGCTTTCTTATGACAGCTGGAAGCATAGATTTGATCCAAGATGGGAAGAATGCACCCAATTATTCTCTTCACAGTCTTTACAACCTTGGACAGCATTTCTTTCCCCTGACCATGCAGCACTTGGTCACAAGTGGCCAATAGCCTGGTACCTGGCACATTTTGAACTCCATAGACAACACTGAGCATCACCCCACACTTACCAGTCCATTTTCCCCATCACCGGTTATTCCAAACAAGTCCGGTGAAGCAAGTTTGTTTCACAACACCTCCAGCTGCAATAACACAGTCTGAATTTGCTGCTAGGTGGCTTAATCCCACTGGAAAAGCATGGCATCCTGAAAGCGCCCATCTTCTGAAATAAGCAACATCTGTGGGACGTAATCCACTGGGAGCAGTCAAATACAACATTCCTTGTTTTCCTAGAGGGAATGTTTGGTCCAGCCAGTCGTAAACTTCCTGTTTCCTCCTGGCTGGGACCTAACTTCCTTTGCATGTGACTAGAGGTGGGCATGACCTTACCTCTCCAGGTAACGGAAACGGACAAGGCACGCAGCATCCTCTCTCTTCCATCTTTCTTTCGTTGTGTGAGCTGGAGTGACTGCTAGCTTGCAGTCACTGGGATTATACCCCCGTATGGGGTATATCCACATGTACTGCATATATCAGTAACTAAGTCTGCCTTCAGGGATCCATCTGTGAACTGATGTGAGTAAACTTCTTTTATATACTTTAAAACAAGATTGTGGTGTGTTTATTTTTTTTAAGAGGGATATAAGGGAACTTACCAGGAACATACAATTCAATACTGAATTGTATGATAGAGAGAGGCTTACACAAGCCTGCAACCAGCTATCCACTGTGCATGTTTAAAAAGGCAATGGAAAACTCTGCTAAGTAAAGGAACTTGCTAACACAAGTTAGGAAGGATATTAATAAACAGTATATCCTCTCCTGCCTCCCTGAACATTCCCACAACATCCACCTCAAACAAATTAGCCACCAGTTCAGCTTCCTACTTCTAGGTATCTCAGGGCTTTGCCTTGGGAGAAGCGTTTCTGAAAAAAGAGTTTAAGCCAGCAAATCTCAGGCAGAGAGTGTTGGGGCGGGGAAAGAAAGCAGGCACATATGCTTTCCCATATGTCCACTGCAGCAAAACGATCCTTTTACTTCCTTGCCCCACTTTGCTTGCATTTAGGGCCTGCTACCAAGCCTCCGCTCTCTCTCTCTCTACAGGACTGTTGCAATTTGCATGACTGATCAGGGCAAATCCTCCAGAGAGCAGCTCTTCCCTAAGGGCCAGTTTCATGCTGTGTTATTATGCCGGACATAAGGGAAGCAGAAGAGCAAGTAAGAAGCGCTCAGGCCAGAACTGCGCGTTACATTGGTACGGTGGGGTTCTGCTGAGGAAGCAAAGCAAACGACATGCATGCCGGTCTTTCCAGACGGAAGCCGGCTGAGGGAAGCAGCTTGTAGGGACGGATGTCTGACAATGCTAGCAAAAAGTCTTCTTTGGGGAGGGAGGGGAGTTCTGATGCAAATTGGCCAGGCACGTTTGACTCAATTTCCCACACCATTTGTCTTCTTGGCAGCGACCTAGTTAAACAGATTAGCATTTTGAGCAGCCCAAAGAGTGCTACTGGCAACTGGGGGGATGCAGAAAGGCGATGGGCATGTGGAAAGAGGCAACAGACCACATAATGCATGTTTCCATGTTTCCCATGTCCCTGTCTGTTCCCAAACTCTCCTGTGCGACGGAGAGGCCATCGCAGATGCTACATACAGACCATTCCAATCTCTTCACAGGGCCTCAGATACGATGCTTTGCCGAAGATGTTGGTTCATACGTTCAGAGGTCAGTCATCAAGTGCATAGGAGTCAGACGAGGGAAGTGAATGTCCGCAGAGCTTGAGCACAATCAAGTGATGTATGGGAGGGGAGGGGCAGTTTGTTCACCTTTGGTCCCCACCCTGAACTCAGCTCTCACCTGTGGCTCCTAGAACCTGTCAGCATGGGACAGTGTGGTGTAGTGGTTAAGAGCGGTAGTCTCGTAATCTGGTGAACCGGGTTCGCTTCCCCGCTCCTCCACATGCAGCTGCTGGGTGACCTTGGGCCAGTCACACTTCTCTGAAGTCTCTCAGCCCCACTCACCGCACAGAGTGTTTGTTTTGGGAGAGGAAGGGAAAGGAGATTGTTAGCCGCTTTGAGACTCCTTCAGGTAGTGATAAAGCAGGATATCAAATCCAAACTCCTCTTCTTCTTCTCCTTCTTCAGTGACCACATCCGGGGAAAGAAGCTTGGATTGGCCAGCTAAACTAGGTGGGAATAGCCAATGGATCTCAAACCCTTAGTGGGTTAGGGAATTCCTCTGCATGCAAAGACAGGGAACCAAAAGAGGAATTCAATAGAAGGCAGTTTCTACATGTGCTGTACAGGGAAGTGAGCTGCAGGTGTGGGGCTCATCGACCTTAGAAGGTAGACCATCCAGGAGAAGGGAAACTCTGTTCCTAAACCTCTGCTGCCTGGCAACTATACTCATCACGGGTGTAACCAGGATTTTTGTTGGGGGTGGCAGGATTTTTGTGCCCCCCCAAACGATGTGATTGGTCAGTTAGTTATTTCTATTGTTTTACTTGATCTGGAGAGGGGCAGCTGCCCCCCTTGGCTATGCCCATGACTCTTATATGAGAAAAGCTTCCGGAGTAAACCCTAAGGAAAAATCTTTACCTGCTGTTTTGCGGGACATCTTCAGGAGAAGAAAAAGCTGAGGAGTAAAATTCTGCAGGAGGGGCGCTATTGTTTTCTTTTGTTTTTGTTTTAACTATTTATTTTGTGCTTTTATTCTGTATTTTTATATTGGGAACTACCCTGAGATCTTCAGAAGAAGGGTGGTCCTCCTCTGAGGCTCTTCTGCTGGTTCCCTCATTGTGAGAAGTGAAGCTACAGGGAACCATGCAGAGGGCCTTCTCGGTAGTGGCTCCCACCCTGTGGAACACCCTCCCATCAGATGTCAAGGAGATAAAGAAGTACATAAGTTTTAGAAGACATCTGAAGGTAGCCCTGTATCAGGAGCTTTTAAATGTTTGATGTTTTATTATGTTTTTATATGTGCTGTAAGCTGTCCAGAGTGGCTGGGGAAACCCAGCCATTTAGTTGGGGTATTATTATTAATCCCTACACGAATCCGGAGTGGTGTCCCTAAAATGGTTCATGGTATCTTGTACGTCTCCTTCCAGAAACTACTACAGTATAGCTGGTGCCAAATGTTGTTCCTATTTCCTTTGCCCCACATCTGCTAGGCCAAGAGTGGTGGGGTGGTCTTCATTGCAGCGCGTTTCTTCCTCTTCCGCAGTGGCGTACAGACGCGGAGCAAAAGGAGCGCAAGGGCGGAGACGAGGGGCAAGAGTTTGGGGCGAAGCGCGCGCGGCTGTGGCAAGGTGCACTTGCAGCGCGCTCCTCGCTGGAAAGGCACCGTTGCCCGCCTCCCACTTTAGCACAAACTGGAACATCCCCCCACCAGCAGGCGGGCTGGCTGCTTAACCTCTGCAAAAGAACAAAAGCCTTTGGCCGGGAGGGTCCGCTCTGCAAAATCTGAAGCGTTGCAAACGAGTCGTCTTGTTGATTTCTGGTGCCTCTTGCGCCGGCTCCTTGGCTGGGGCAGCCCGATCCTCTTCATAGTTCTTCATAAGGCGACTCTCCCTGTGATTTGGAGAAGACTTTTTTTCTGGAACCTTTGCTCCTTGAACTTGGAAGCTAGCCCTTAGTAGCTTCAGTGGGGACGACCGTCTCGGATCGCCCAAGGCGCGCGGCGTTCTCTCCTACTGGAGACCTTTAAGTCTGCCCTCCCCGCACACTTTGTGCCACACAACACTCCGCAACCAACTCCCTCTCTCGCCCCATGCTTCCGTTGCTGTCCCCTCCCCCCTCAACAATATACCATTTGCAATGGCTTCTAATGCATCTCCCAGCAGCTTTGTTGATCTCTGGCCCGGGATCCAAAGCGGAGCAGCAGCAGCAGCAGAGAGGCCCGCGGGACTTCACGTGTAAGACTGCAAGCGCGGTAAGAGGCAGCTGCTTTTTGCAAGCCTGCCTTGCCTGCCTTCAGCGGCGGCGGCGGCGGCGGCGGCGCTCCTAGCAGCGGCAGAGGCAGCAGTCGGAGGACGGGGAAGCCGGCTTTACAGGAGCTGCGCGCAGAGCAATGCTGCTGGGGCGCAGAGACGGCGCGCTCCCCTGAGCCTCGCCGCGCGCGTTGCGAAGGGAAGGGCGATGCACTGAGACGCCCCTTGCAAGTGGTGCGTCGGCTGGGGGGAGTTTTGCTGCTGCTTTCCTGCCTCTTCTCTCCCCCCCTCTCCACCCCACAGCAAAGGATTCTCTTGGCAAACGGAGCTCCCTTCTCTCTCCCCCACCCTCAAGCCCAGGGAGCTCCTCAGATGACTCCGGGGACTTCGTGAAAGCCATGCGCCCCGACGACATCAACCCTCGCACCGGCCTGGTGGTGGCTTTGGTCAGCGTCGTCCTGGTGTTCGGCTTCATGTTCACGGTGTCTGGGATCAAGGGGGAGACTTTGGGGGACATCCCTCTGCTGGCCATCGGGCCGGCCATCTGCTTGCCGGGCATCGCCGCCATCGCCCTGGCGAGGAAAACCGACGGCTGCACTAAGTGGCCCGATAAGAGGGGGCGCCCGCCTTGCGGTGGCTGCTGCTGCTGCCGCAAGAAGCCCCGAGACAAAGACGTGCTGGAGCTGCTGAGGACCCCGTCGGACCTGGAGTCCGGCAAGGGCAGCTGCGACGAGCTGGCCAAGAAAGCCTATGGAGCCAAGGACAGGAAGGGGAGCTCCCGAGGAGGAGAGGACGGCCTCTCTACTTGCACGACCATCACCACCTCCGCCGCCGTCGGGGAGGGCAGGGGCTCTCTGCACAAAGCGGAGCAGGAGGAAAAGCTGAGATACTTGGAAAACTGCTGCCCGGAGATGCCTGGGAATGTCTTGGGGGCCGGAGCCACCCTTTTCAGTGCCTTAGAGGAGGAGAAGCAGCAGCAGCAGCAGCAGGAAGGATCTCCCGTCTTCGAAGGGGGCCCCGCGCTCCCGGGCGCAGAGGACACCGTTTCCGTGGCCCCTCTGAATAGCATCATCGTCTGTTCCTACAAGGACAGCAGCCCTTACGACAGGTACTGTTGCTATATAAACCCCAGCGAGGAAATCAGCTCGGATCACGAGACGATAGTTTGAAAAGACTTGGTGGACGGGTCCTCTTTCTCCCCTCCCTCTTTTTTATTTTTTAAAAAAAGACTTTGACGAATGGGCGGTGTTGTTTGGAGCAAGTAATGAAGGAACCCTCCCAGCAGCTGGCTCTTTTAAAACAAAAATAATAACTGGTAACAATAGTAATAATAGTAATAATAATTAATAATAATAATATTGGCTGGATTTGCACTGCATGGGATAACTCTCATAGCTATTAACTAACTTTTTTCTAAACCCCAACAACCTGGTATGTGACTGATACTCAAACCTTTTGTGCCTGGGAAAACAAACTTTATTTAGTTATTATTTTCGGTTTCTTGTTAAAAGTAATAATAAGCATGTTTCAGGAGAATCAGTCTTTTCTATCATGATTTGTCAGCTGGGGGTGTGTGCGTTGTCGAACCTTGCAGGGACTGGGGGCTGGTGGACTGGGTGGGGATGCTCTTGCTGCTCAAAAGTAAAGCAGAAATCAAATGTCAGGAGTGCTTCTTGGAAGCGCAAGATATTCAAAGTTCTGCCTCTTCCACTGACTTCTGAAAGCACTGATAAAGAGGCCGGGTGCAGTTCGATGTTTTCTTCCATCTGGTAAAATGGGGCAGAGGGTGGGGAGAGTCAGGCTGGCCCTAAGTTTTCAGTTTTGGGTGCAGTAAATTGAATGTGCTCTTGTATTCTCACTGCCTGGTGAGGAAAGAGGTGCTTGAGGGATTTTCCGCGTCGTGTGCCAAAATCAAGTGACCAGCCTTCGGAACGTTGGGCACGCACTTCCTTACACCGAGTCAGGCCATTGGTCTGTCTAGCTCAGTGCTGTTGACCCTGATTGGCTACAGCTGCCCAGGGTTTCAGACTGGGGTGTCTCCTCACCTGGCCTGGAGATACCGGGGATCGAACCCAGGGCATTCTGCATGCAGCCACTGATCTACTGGCCTTCTACAATGTACTACACACGTTGACTTGTAGGGGGCGCCACTTGCTGCTCTGCCTCAGGCGGCAAAACATCTTGGCCCGGCCCTTTCATTTTTACCATCGTATGGATCAGGCAGGGAACTTCAGACAGCCCAGCAGGGGCATTGTGTCAAATAAATTTGACCCATGATGATCTTGGAGACTGAGAACCATTTTTAACAGCCAAGACAGTCGGTGGGAGTAAGGAGTCTGTATACACATTACCATTTTCTAGTGTACCTGTGGTCCAGAGCTACCCTGTTTGTTTGAGAAATGCGGCTGTTTGTTGCATTTCCCTTTTCAAACCAACTTCAGTCCGTCAGGAAAATTTAAGCCACATGCGCAATTAAGCTGAGACGTAGAAGACAGCGCATGCGCTTGGGTGGATGACAACGCATGCGCAGATGGCAACTTCGTGAATGGGAGTTTGGGGAGGGGGGTTGCAGAGGTGGGGAACCCAACAGGTAGAGACATCCCCGTCCCTTCTCAGGTGTGTACAACAACATGCAAAGGCGACTTGAAACACAGCAAGGCGGGGTAGGAAATGGCCTCACTGCGTTTTAAGTTGCTAATGTGTACTCAGCCTAAGAGAAACACAGTTAACCCTAGCAGCAGGGTTACTCAGGCTGAAATCCTATGCACACTTTCCTGGGCGTAAGTCCCATTGAACTCAGTGGGGCTTACGCCTTGGGTTGTAATTTATAGAATTGCTCTGACAAGATGGAAACATGATTCCCCCTTTTTACTTTTTGGTGTGTGTGTCTGCTTTTAATAACCCATCATGGGTTTGCAACTATTTTCCCCCTGCGTTGAATATTCAGTATAGTTTAAGTGTTACGTCCTTGTTCTGTTGCACTGATATCGGGGGGGGGGGAGCTGCGGGGGAGAGAGAATGCTATCTTTTTTTTCAATGCAAGATTTCTAGTGAAATTGATCTGAAGCGTAGTGCAAGTAGCTTACGACAGGACAGCACCGCTGGTATTGACAGCACACCTGATTTTGACTTTAAAAGGCGTATAGGGACAGGTGGAAAAGCTTTTGAGAGTCTGGAAAAGGGTTTTGGAAATGTGAATGGATACTTCTTTTTGACAAGTTATTGTTCATGGAGTGGGAGGAATATAAACAGATTTCAAAGGCCATATTAATATGCTGTCTTAATGGTGGCAATTTTTAAATCTGAATAAAACAAAACCCTGTGTTATGATCCTCTGTTTTCAGCATTCACTGTGACTACTTTGAATGTATATACATATACATACAGTGGTACCTCGGATTACAAACGCTTCGGGTTACGTGTTTTCAGGTTGCGGACTGCGGGAAACCCAGAAGTACCGGAAAGGGTTACTTCCAGGTTTCGCCGCTCGCGCATGCGCAGAAGCGCCAAATCACGCTTTGTGCATGTGCAGATGCGGCACTGCAGGTTACGAACGCTGCGGGTTGTGGATGTGCCTCCATCATGGATTACGTCCGCAACCTGAGGTTCCACTGTATATATATAGCCAGATTCCTTCCCCATTGCCCTGTCCTGAACACTAATTGATTGTAAAATTATTGCTGGTGGTTTTGTTTGTTTGTTTTCTCCCACAGCTCAATCCCATCTTCCCTTCCCTTTCTCAATGCATTTGACAAACTGGCCAGTGAGTCAAATGCTGTTTGTAGTATTCCTTGTTCCTCCCCTCATATGCTTCAGATATGCTGAATCCATCTTTTTTTCTTTTTAGGGCACGATATGTATTATTCAGTCAACATCGTATTCACTCACACCATTTCTTTTAAAAACAGAATCCATTTTTAAACCCTTTTTCAGAGTGGAGAGAAAGAGGAGGTTGGTTAGTGATGTCATTGGTCTTCTGCCAATCTGTGCTGTGCACGGTATGCTGAACTCAGAACTTCTCTCTCCCCGAAGCTCAGTCCGGAGGAGAAACAAAACATGGCGAGTGCCCCTCCGCAGGAAGCTTGCCGTTAGAATCATGTATGTGTATATGTGCACATGCTAGAGGTGGTGTGTGGAATTCACTGCCACAAGATTTGCTAGGATTAGATGAGTCAAGGGCTATCAATGTCTGTGATTGCTTTCAGGCCTTTTGGAGACACGGGGCAGTATATAAACAAATGCTAGCTGCTGAGGGAAAGGTCTTATGCTCATGCCTTTTTTTTGATATTCCAGAGATACCAGGCTGGTTAGAGCTGGGAACAGGACGCTGGGCTGGGTGGAACGTGGTCTAATCCATGTGTGGGTTCTCTTAAAGAAAATGTGACTGCACTTATGGAATGACCGGGCACTTGGCTCTAAGACCAGTTCTTATCCAAATCAATGGCTGAAGCTCTGCTCCAGTAGTAGTTTCCACAGCAGAAGAAGACATGTGCACATGTCTCCTTCAGAATTGTACCTCTTCAGTAGAATAATCTGGGGAATAGGGAAGGAGATAACTGAATAACCTGGATTAAAAAAATTGACACGTTCCGTTCTAAAACCAGTGGCATCATCCATCCTAAACAGTTCATTTGGTTACCTTGCGGTGCTGATAATGCCCAAGGTTGCGGGTTCAATCTCCTTTTTGGGACAGCTGTGTATTCCAGGGGGTTGGGCTAGATTATGCTCAGCATCCTTTCCAACTCTACAATTCAGTGATTCCATGACAACGAAGCAGTTTTAGGCCCCTTTGGTTTCAGTGGGTGTATTGAGCATGTTTCTCAATCCTTCCGGTTGAAGCCTGTGAGGTTCAAAAGAGCTTAACTTTGCGTTGGCTGTGCACCTGGGTATCCACCCCCCTCCAGGTAATATTAAGGAAATTGTCAGCTAGAGTTTTCGCACAAGGTGGGCTGTGTGCAGCGATTCAGTTATCATTTGTCGCCATAGCAATGGAAGCAGGAACTTTCTGATGACTCAGCATAAAACATGTCACTTGGAGGACCTCTCAAAGCCTGCAGGGAATGAGTCAGCAAAACCTATGTACATTACGTCTCCGTATCATATGTGCAATACTGTACATGTAATATCTGATTTGGGATTTTATATGTGTTATATATTTAATCTATGCAGGATGCCTTTCAAGGGTTAATTGTGAGGAACAATATATTCAATAAATCCAGAGTAATTTGTACGTCCTGGGCTTTCCTTTGTAAGTTTGTCCATGCTTCGTTTCTGTGGCTGATTGCGCAGATCTGAAAAGCCTCAGAGTTTTAAGAAAGAAAGAAAGAAAAATATCTGTACGAGCTCTTGTTTTCATCATACATAATTTACTCCAGACCGCTTGATCGCCCAACCCTCCATTGAAGGCTTGGGATAATTCTGCAGAAAACTGACTTCTGATTTTTCCACGGAGAGAGAGAGAGAGAGAGAGAGAGAGAGAGAGAGAGGGTTTGGCTGGGCGACTCTCACACATGTGATGCTATCTAGCAGATAGACAGAAGTCCTCAGGCTCCTTCAGGGCCGTCTCGTTTTTGGAAACATTGTTACCGACAGTTATTTCAAAGGGAATTATCAAAGGGAGAGATGATGCTTTTCATTAGGGGTGTGAACTTTTCTTACTTGCTCACCATAAAATCGTACAGCCATTTAGAGGGAAAAGCAGGGCAGAGTGAGACATTTACTCATCATTTGAAGGCTCGCAGCAGACAGCTGCATAGACCAGACCAAGTTCACTAAGCAGCGTTTTACAGGTTACTATACGATACAATAATCTTTATTGTCATTGTCCCATACAGAACAACAAAATTGAAAATCTACATCAGACATTCAGAAACCAACAAGCCTGCTACCCCGGTTATCCCAGCCTGGTTAGCCCCCTAAAAACTCTGATACCCCATAGTTATACACAATATACTTCCACAAAGACTACCTTAAAAAGGTAAAGGGACCCCTGACCATTAGGTCCAGTCGTGGCTGACTCTGGGGTTGCGGCGCTCATCTCACTTTATTGGCCGAGGGAGCCGGCGTACAGCTTCCGGGTCATGTGGCCAGCATGACTAAGCCGCTTCTGGCGGACCAGAGCAGCACACAGAAACGCCGTTTACCTTCCCGCCGGAGTGGTATCTATTTA